TGGATCACTTTTCTTTAGAATGAACAAAAACATGGGTCTCTTTCAGTTGGGTGACCATGTAGCTATCTCCCAAATTTCATGGCATAGATGAGTGAGCGCTTCCAGCATTGTATCTGCTTAGTGGAATAGCTCATTTGGTATTCTGTCAATTCCTATATGATTGCTGTCAGTTGGTATCTACTCAAGGGCACACAACAATGGCAACAAGCCTCGGGGAGGGGACAGGTCCATTCTGTCGGTAAATCCCTGCAAATCCCCAGCAGACAGTATGGGGATGGAACATGGGGCCAGAGAAGGGAAGGAATGAGCTCACAGTCCCACAGGGAGGCAAGTCTCATCCCCTGTCTGGGCCTCAGTTTCCCTTCTGTGAAAGGAGATGATAACCAAGTACTCTTCCATCTTGGATGGCCTGTTCAATAATTCAATGACCCTTCATTTTAGTAGACATGGCAAATCTCAATCGTTTTTAATTTTGAAAACAAGCTGTTGTGCTGATTTAAGCAAACCCTTGAGTCTCAGTTGCTCATTTCAGTCCCCAGATAACACCTATGTTGTTGTTGTTGTTAAGTACCATCAAGTTGGTACCAACTCACAGTGACCCTATGCACAACAGAATGAGACACTGACTGGTCCTGGGCAAAGCTCACAATTGTTGTTACTCCTGAGCCTATTACTGCTGCCACTGTGCCAATCCATCTTGTTGGGGGTCTTCCTCTTTTTCTCTGACGCTCCACTTTATCAAAGATGATATTCTTCTCCAGAGATTGGTCCCTCCTGATAATATGTCTGAAGTATGAGAGACAAAGTTTGACCATCCTGACTTCCAAGGAGCACTCTGGCTGTACTTCTTCCAACACAGATCTGTTGGTTCTTTTGGCAGTCCATGGCACTTTCAATATTATCTTCCAACACCGTAACTCAAATGCATCAATTCTTCTACTGTCTTCCTTATTCACTGTCCAGCTTTCACATGCATATGAGGTTATTGATAATACCATGGCTTGGGTCAGGCGCCCCTTAGTCCTCAAACTGACATCTTTACTCTTTAACACTTTAAAAAGGTCTTGTGCAGCAGATTTGCCTAATGCAATACATCATTTGATTTCTTTTTTTTAAACAGAGTATATAATTTATTGAATGTAAAACTGATGATCATCTCTGCATATCTTCAAGTATTTACAATAGAAAGTTTTTTGTTTTTTTTTTAAGTTTCTTTTGTTGTTGTTAAGTGCTGAAGTTTCTTTAGGGCTTTTAATAAACTTTGATCTTAGATGAAAGGCTAGAGAGAGAATGCATTGTCATTACTAGCACTATTAATATAAATACCAAAAGTGGTCTCATGTTAATTATTTAACATTAGTGAATGATTTAGACCTATCATTGCCCCAGGTACATTATATTTGAACATCAAACAGTAAAAGGCCAAACCATCAAAATCGTCCTTTCCTCATTATTCCCTGTAGACTCTGGTCTTAATTATTTTTCATAGCTGGTCATCCATACCAGTTGATTCCTTGACTGCTGCTTCTGTGAGTGTTGATGGTTGATCTGAGCAAAATGAAGTCTTTGACAACTTCAGTCTTTTCTTCATTTGTTTATTGGTCCAGTGGTGAGGATTTTTGTTTTCTTTACATTGAGATGCAAGCCATACCTAAGGCTGTGGTCTTTGATCTTCATCAGTATTTTAAGTCCTCTTCACTTTCAGCAAGCAAGGTTGTATCATCTGCATATCACAGGTGGTTAATAAGTCTTCCTCCAATCCTGATGCCACCATGTTTTTCTTCATATAATCTAGCGTCTCAGAGTATTTGCTTAGCATACAGATTGAGTAAGTATGGTGAAAGAATTCTACCCTGGAGCACACCTTTCCTAATTTTAAACCATTTGCTGTTCCCATGTTCTGTTAGAACAACTGCCTCTTGGTCCATGAGGTTCCTCATGAGCACAGTTAAGTGTCCCGGAATACTCATTCTTTGCAATGTTGTCCATAATGATTCACACCATCGAAAGCCTTTGCGTAGTCAATAAAGCACAAGCAAACATCTTTTTTGGTGTTCTCTGTTTTCAGTCAAGATCCATCTGATGTCAGTAATGATATCCTTCATTCCATGTCCTCTTCTGAATCTGGCTTGAGCCAGTGGAAGTTCTCTGCCTATGTATAGTTGCAACTATTTTTGTATTCTCTTTAGTAAAACTTTACTTGCATGGGATATCAGTGATATTGTATGATGGTTTCTGCATTCCATTGGGCACCTCTTTTTGGAACGGGCACAAATACAAATCTCTTCCAGTCAATTGGCCAGGTAGTTGTCTTCCAAATATCTTGGCATAGATGAGTGAGTGCCTCCAGTGCTGCATCAGTTTGTTGAAAGATTTCAATTTGTATAACACACATTGTTGTTTGTTGTTATGTGCCTCAAGTTGGTTCCAACTCATAGCGACCCTGTATAGGGTTTCCGAGGAGTAGCTGGTGAGCTTGAGGTTCAGATTAATGTTACAGTCTAGCACATTAACCCACAGCGTCACACCAGGACTCCGTAACACCCATGTTGTTGTTGTTGTTATGTGCCATCGAATCGGTTCCGACCCATAGCGACCCTGTATAGGGTTTCCGAGGGTGTAAATCTTTACGGGAGTAGAAAGCCTCATCTTTCTCCCGCGGAGCAGCTGGTAGTTTCGAACCGCTGACCTTAAGGTTCGCAGCCCAATTCGTAACCACTACGCTACCAGAACACCCATTGTTGTTGTTGTTGTTAAGTGCCATCGAGTCGGATCCGACCCATAGCGACCCTGTACAGGGTTTCCGAGGCTGTAAATCTTTACGGGAGCAGAACGCCTCATCTTTCTAGCTGTGTTAAAAACATGGAAATGTGAGCATGTAAAGGCTTACCTCTGACAGTCAATAAAGTGGGACACAAATGCAGTGATAGCTGATCACTCAGGCATCACGTGAGTACATGGATGCTGGTTTGTGGAGGGAAGCGCTCTGGCCCAGGGCTCCGAAAAGTTGAGGTCCAATTCCAGTGCCACTACTAACTAGTTGTGTGTTCTTGGGGGTAGCATCTCCCTTCCCTGAGCCTCAGTTCCCCCATTTATACTATGAAGTAGTAGGATGTGATCATCTCTAAAACCTGATCGACCTCCTACATATATGTGTGTGGGAAACAGCCAATCCTAATTGGCCCAGAAAAGTGTCACAGTTTTTAACAAAGTGCTCATCATAACTGTCACCAATAACTGAGCAGAACACACACACATGTATGTATCAGGCAGCGAAGTTATTTATATGTGTTATCTCAGTTCTTTCCACATCCCTAGAAGGAAGGTTGGCTTGTATTCCTATTTTACAGAAGAAGATACTGATGGTCAAGGAGGCAAAGCACTTGCCCCATGTCCTACGGCAAGTGAGTGACTTGAGCCCTGAACTCCTGTTTGCTTGGCTGCCTCCCTTAGACAGCCTCAAATGCCTAATGCCACAGTCTCTGGAGTTGGCATCTAATCCTAACACATTCAGGGGAAATAAAAGGCAATAAAATTGGCACGTGCTTGTACCTGTGATCGACCAATGAATATTTTACAAAATCTTCTCCTGCAATGATATAATTTGAGAACTGGAAACGTGGCATAAGGATTTCATTGCAATCACTCAAAACAGATAAAAAAAAAAAAAAGTATCTTTGCCAAGATGCTTACTTTGTTCAACCAATGAAGAAGTCAGACTTAACAAATGGGAAAATAATTACGTTTACCTAAAATTACATCTTTTGTGCATGTAGGAGAGCTGGCATGCGTTTCAATTACCTGCCATGGGAAGACGAATGGGTGTGTGTCCAGGATTGCATTACAGAGCAGTACTGCTGGAGAGCACTTCTCCTGACTGATCTGGATCCTGCTGGGATTTTTCTGAATGAATCTGAATAACTTGCTTCAATTCCTTGCTTTCCTCTGGAAGACACTGGGAGCTGCTCAGGGTGAGTGGGCACAGCAGGCATGGCTCTCGTTTCTGGATTTCCCAGAAACATCCAGATGGTGAAAAAATTGTATTGATGAATGATCTGTCTTAGTGGTTCTGGCTAACAACCACTAATGACGACCATACTGGGCTGACTGAGATATCCTCTTGAGGAATATGCAGTCCTGTTCCTCCAAGGCACTAGAAGGAACTCTGAGAAGGCACTAGAAGGCCCTGTCCTCTCTGAGCCTCCATTTCCTACTCAGGACATGGGGAACTTGGTCTGGATGGTCTCTGGGATCCCTTCCAGCTCTAATAGCAGGAAAGGCCAACAAATAACCTGATGTCTTCAACAAAGGAACGACATACAAACATGTATATGCATTATAGATTAAAAGAGATGAAAGTGACATATTGACCAAATGCAAGGGGTGGATTGAGTGTAAATTCTGCTCAAGGAAACCAACTGTGAAGACATTTTTGAGATGATCAGGGAGCATTGATATAGACTGGGAATTAGAAGATCTTAAGAATTGTTGTTAAATGTTTTAGATGCCATGATAATATTGTGGCTATGTTTTTAAGAGTCCTTCTCTAGTAGAAATGCATACTGAAGTATTTATAGATTGAAATGAGATAATGTCTGGAATCTGCTTTAGAATTTTACAGCAAAATAGAGTGGAGGGGAGCATTAAGTAAAGCTAAAACAAGATTGGCAAACGTTGATAGTAGTTGAAGCATGGGGTTCATTATGCTATTCTTTCCTTTAGAGTATGTTTGAAAATTCCTTCAATAAAAAATAAAATCAATGCAAGCTTTACCACATAGTAAAGGAAGGCAGAGTTTGCCTCAGAACAAATGCAGGTGACATAAATACTGTAAATGAGTTAAAACTAATGTTTTCACAAAGATATGCTTTCCATTGACACTGGTTTCTCTTATTTGAAGCATCAGCCTTTCATTTCTTTTGCTGTATTTTATTGAATAAAACCAAAATCCCTGAATACAGATTTCTTCAACTGGAAAAAAGAACATCACAAAAGCCTACCTTGAAATTGAGTAAATTTAATGGTTCCCATTCTCTCACCATTCCGGAACACAACTTGACCCTAAAAAAACACAAAAACAAAGAGAAATGCTGTATTAGCCCAAACATTACTGATTGAGATGGAAATTCATTTATTGTACAGTGTGATATATTAATGCTGGGGAAAAAAAGAAACTCCCTCTGGATCACAGAAGAAAAATCAAATTAATTGTTTTCAAATCAGTTGTAACTTTATCTGGTTAATCTGAGGAACGCAAAATCAATTTTGGGACGGAAACAAAAAAATGAACGCCCAGATAGACATCAGCGTTATCATCGTGGCTATTTATTAAACACCCATGTGTCGTGTGTCATCACGAAGAAAAGGTCTTCCAAGGTGCTGGAGAAATTGAATGGAGATGCTGCTTGGGGGTTCTGGCCTCAACCCTGCTCCCCATGCCTCATCCATAAAGATGAACAACTTAGGTAAGACTGAGTTTGGCTTGAAAACCAGAAGGGTGCTGGAGGTCTGTTAATATTTCCTATTAAGGGAAAATAATGTTATTCTAAGTTCTTCCTGAATAGTGACGTCAGCCCCAGTTATAACTGAGCTATGGCGCAGCACAAATTTAAACTTCTTGAGCCAGTGAGATGGCACTAGTGCCACAGACAGCTGATTAGAGGATCTTAAGAATTGTTGTTAAATGTTTTAGATGTGATGATAATATTGCCCCTCATTAGGGACCTAAGGGTCTAAAGAGAGCTTCATCTGTGGCATCTGCCTGGCTGTCTGACACCAAGCTTCCACATGCTTAGCTAACTAAACTGGGATTTACCTAGTGGAATTGTGGTCTCTTTGTAGTCCCTGGTGGCACAAACAGAACGGTTAGCTCCTAACCAAAGCGTTAGAGGTTGGAGTTCATCCACAGGAGCCTTGGAGGAACGGTCTGGTGATCAACTTCTAAAAAAATCAGCCACTGAAAACCCTTGGGAGCACCATTGTACTCAGACACACATGGGGTTGCCATGAATTGGAGTTGACTCAATGACAAAAGGATTGGTTCGGTTTTTGGTCTTTTCTTTTCAGTGTATGGCCCACCTAAAATTCTGTAACCATACAAGGAAACTGACACATATTATCTCATTGAAATTTCAAGTGAAGCCCAAGTAATAAAAGCCAATCCCCATTTTACAGACCAAGAAGCCACACTGAGGAAAGTTATGGAATTTGTACAAAGTCATTCAGTGAGTAAGTGAGGCTGTTGGGGTTCACATCTGACTTTGATTTTAATGCCAAGGCTACTTCATGATAAAGCATGTTGCTTCAGCTCCAGAAATAATTTCTTTTCCATCTTCCCATTAATGTGCAATCAGGAAAAGACATTGTCTTAAAAGTACACCGCATTTCTTTCACAGTTATACTACGGTGTCATCAGGCTACAACGCGAACCTTACTCCGGCTCCCACTCAATTCTCTGGGGGAAAGTCCAGGAACATCTTGTCCTGAGTGTAAATCCCAACTCCGAGGCCCTGTGGCTTTCAGCAAAGGGAATCACTCAACTCTTTCTCAAGAACCAGAAACACCTTCTAAGGCCACGTTGACACTTTGTCGAAATCCTAAAGACAGCTGTGAGTGAGTAGTATCAGTTTGTAACTAACGCCCACTAACTTCCATATTCAGGTGATGTTAAGCAATTTCCTGGAGTGTGAAAAACTTCAAGGTGAGGTGAGACAGGAGCTGTGATTTTGTTTCTAGAAATGACTGAAAATCACAGGCACTTTCCAAAATGATCCCTTGTAGGCAAGTGGATAACTTTGGGGGAGTGGAGCAGGTACATGGTCCTGAAGGAAATCTTTTTGTTTGACTAAGGTGAAGATCTAATTCACTAATCTCCTGCCATGATTTGAAGGTTCCAATCAATTCTAGATTTAAAAAGAGGATAAATTCTGTAGGATTTTTATTAGTTAAATGGAAAAGTATGTGGAATGATCTTCAAAGCTGGGAAGGAATGACATTTTAATAGGGTATGGGGTGGGAGGTCAGAAAGAATTTTCTTTTACCTTTTTGTTTTCTCCTGTACTTTTTATTAAGTTTTTATTGTGAATTGAGTGATAATTTACATGGGAGAATATCAGCTTTACATGCATTCTATCATATTTCGTTTCACTGTAATGATTACAATCCCCTCTATGCATCATCATTCAACAGCATTTGCTTCCATTCCCTCTGGCTTTTATTTTTTTTTGATGTACACTGAAGCACTCAGGAATATATAACCATTCAAACAACCAAAGGGTATACCCCACAAGCCTGCTCCCCGGCCGTCAGCACACAACCCCTCTCCCTCCCTGATTCCAGAGTCCCCAGCTGCTCCCTCTCTCCATGTCATCGTCTCTGCCTCCATCTCTGGTGTCACTGCTTCTCTGGATAGGGTTCTATACTCCATTCTTCTCCCTTGATGGTCCAGGGTCCTCCACTCCTGGACTGCAAGATCAACCACTCCCCTCCTTTTGCTACATACAAAACGTCTACCTTTACATTTGCAACACTCACAATCAGTCCTGATAGCAATTATTCACTGTTGAACCACAAGTCTTCTTTTATCAGCCCCGTCCAGATAGGTTGGAAACCACTCAGTGGAGATTCTACCTTCCCTGGCACCCTCTGAAACTAGGCTCCCTCTTGAAAGTTTGTAAGCCAGTCACTTTGTGCCTTTGTACATCACTCCCCCCATTTTGGGTAGCCAATGTCTAAGTTGCCCATCCTTGTCAACCCTGTGTACCGAGGGGATGGGAATGATCCTCGCTGTAAAGATTCATTGTCTCTTTTGAGCTACTACATCCATAAGTATAGGTCAAGTTCATCAAATTGTAGCAGATTACTCCTTTTTTCCTTTTCTTTTTTCTTCTAGTCGAGTTCTGATCATCCAGCCTTTGAAGCCAGGTCAAATGGGTACTATCTGCAAGTATGGGTGTTATTGTGCATCTCCCCTCCCTTCATATTAGCTGGATGCTTCACTCTCAGCTCTAGTTCTCTATGGCCATGTCCCTGTCCCTGGGCCCAGTAGTCCCCAGGTATCACCATACTGCTGGCCAACCAGGTCTCAATCCAGGTTAACAGGAGTCTATTGAACATGGTTGGACTTAGCTCACAACTTCATTGTTGTTTATCCCCCACTTTCCCTTATCAGTAGACAAACATGGTCACCAGCAAGACCACATGCCTGCTCATGTATTTCCCTTGAGTCTCAGTCTTGGAAGGGGGTTTGCCCTGAGGGGACCTGACTTCTTGCCTTGATGGCTCCCCAGTGAACAACTTGCTTATTCTTGTAGTAGTCAATCAAACTGCCGTTATTGTTTTTGATTTTTCCTGCTGATCTTTCTTCCAAGAAGTATCTTTTGTTCTTCTAGCTGCTTCAGGCTGGCCTGTTTGTCCTTTCCAGTGGAAATTTCCCACCTCAGAAGATTCTGGATGGGGATTAAGATTCCACCTATGGTCTTATGCAATGCAAAAGCTCCGCAGGAAGCCTCCTTCACTGAGCACTCCCTGTACTCTTTAAAGAAGACAAATTAGTCCAAATTAGTACCCATTGCTGCTGAGGCAATTTTGACTCATGGAAACTCGATGTGTTTCAGAGTAGAACTGAGCTCCAGAGGTTTTCTTGGCTGTAATTATTAAGAAAGTGGATTGCCAGACCCTTCTTCTGTGGTGCTATTGGGTCTGAGTTTGAACCGCTAACCTTTTAGTTAGTAACTGACAGCAAACCACTGGGTCATGCGGGGACCCATCATATTTTATTTTTCTAACAACAATTATCTTTACTAACAGCAACTCCTCTCATCTCCCTAATCTCTTAGTGGAAGTGGAAGTGGAAGGAAGGCTAAGTTTGAAAATCACAAACCTGGGTTCAAACCCGATCCAACCTCCCAAACATATTCTTTAAAAAAAAAGAAGAAAAGTTTTGTAATCCCCTCCATGGAATAACAGTTATCCAACTTCCTCCCTGTAATTCCTATTTTCATTCCACCTTCCTTCCCATCTTTTCTCAACTGTCTCCTTCCTTAGGAAAATGCTGCCCTCTTGATCATGAAAGATTGATCATTCCATGGTAAGCATACCTTACTAGTGTTGTCCCCCCATATACCTATCTACTGCTTGGCTGAAAATTGTGCCACAAGGGTGAGTTCTTTCCATGCCTAAAGCGTGGCCGAGGGCCACAGTCACAGGTTCCTCTAGTCTCCTCCTGACCACTAAGCCTGGTCTTTTTTTAAAAAATATTTTTTAGTTTTGTTCCACATTTTCTCCCACTTTATTTGGAACCCCACCACTCGTCCATTAGTTTGTCGTACTGTGGTGGCTTGCATGTTGTTGTGATGCTGAAAGCTATGCCACCAGTATTTTAAATACCAGCTGGGTCACCAATAGTTGACCATATTTCCTCTGAGCTTCTGGACTAAGACAGGCTTGGTAGAAGGACAGCTGGATTACTTCTGAACGTTTAGCCACTGAAAACCTTCTGAATAGCAGTGAAACACTGTCAGATAGCACCAGAATACTGAATATTGAAACATGATGAATAGAACTGGAATATTGTCCGATATAGTGCCCAAAGACTAGCCCCTCAGGTTGGAAGACATGCAAACTACAACTGAGGAGAGTTGCCTCCTCAAAGTAGAGTTGACCATGATGACACAAATGGAGTAAAGTTTTTGGGATATTAATTTGCTGGTGAGGCGCAACTCAAAATGAGGAGAAACAACTGTAAACATTCATTAATAATCAGAACCTGGAATATGTAAAATACAGGTCTAGGAAATTGGAAGTTGTCAAAAATGAAATAGAACGTATAAAGATCTATATCCTAGGCATTAATGAGCTAAAATGGATGGGTATTGGCCATTTTGAATCTGACAATCACATGGTTTAATATGCCGGAATGACAAATTGAAGAGGAATGGCATCACATTCATGATAAAAAAGAACATTTTAAGATCTATCTTGAGGTATAATGCTTTTTATGATAGGATAATATCTATATGCTTACATGGAAGACCAGTTTATACCACTATTATTCAAATTTA